AAAGTTTATTAAATTTATTAATTAATTTAAATGCTTTGCAGCTCTAATAAAGCATCTGTTTAACTTCATGAGCTGCTTTACTTATCTATGTTGTGGCCTAGTCAAATGGTATTTGATGTCCTTTTATTTTTTTTTTTTTTTTCATCCTGGATATTTGAGGAATGCAAGGCAGGTCAGCTGTGAAAGTAAGAATATGGCTAACAGGTCATACAATTTTGTGCTGACCCACAGAATTTTGTACTGACTCATAGGAAGTCTATTTTACTAGCTAACCTGCTACTACTTTTTAATTTTTTTTTTTTACAAACATAGGCTTTGTTTTCTGTCCTTGGAAACTCGGGGCTTGCTATCCCATAGACGTTGCTCTGCGATGGTGTTAGAACTTGCATTTTCTGTCTTGGGAGTGATATTAAAGCATCCTTGGAAAACGAAAAACGTTTCTGAGTTCTTTATATACATATGTATCTATTATCATTTAACTCCACTGCTTTTTTTGCCGTTAAAGTAAAATTCATTTTCTGTGGTAACGTACAGACTAAAATAAAAGCACGTGACTCATTCTTTTGGGATATCCTTGGTTGTTACACAATGACAACTGCAATTCACAGAGCTTGTTGCAGGTATTTATGATTTTTGGCATTCTTTGCAGCCAGTAAAGACAACTTATCCTTTTTTCCTCTTTCTAACACAGTTTCCCCAAGTGAGGTGTTGGATTTAATTTCCATCTTGAATCTTTTCTAAAAGCAGGGTTTTTATGTTGGAACAAGCTTGTTGATAGAAACATTTTCTAGAATTAGAATGGATGATGATGGTTTAAGAACACTTTAATTTTAGTTGTTTATATAGGTCATATTGAAAACTTCTGAAACTCTGAAGCAATGCGGCTTAAAACTGCATTAATAAGAATGTTGGCTAAGGTTTTGTGATGGCCAGCATACAGCTATGTTTCTTTGTTAAATTAAAGCCAGAATAGAGATAATCAAAGGTACACATCAGGTTTATGCAGTGGATAGAAGATAAATAACTACTTCAGATGCACGTGCAAAATAGCATTGCTGTATTTTTAGCTGAAATATTTTTTCTGTCTCTAGTAGTATTATGTATGATGCTTTCAGAAATCATAGCTGTAATACTTAATGTTATGCTGGACTTAATATTTCTAGATAAATATTCTTTACATCGGTATCTCAAAACCAAGGCAGTGTTTTTTTTAACTTGAAGTTACAAAGAGTTTGAAAAGCTTAAACGGTAAACTGTTGACGTTTGGATTCAGTTAATATCATCCATTAGAAAAGTAGTAGTGGTTTTCAATAGGTTATTGTCATTCAACATTCATGATAATGTGAAAACGTTTTAGTTCTATACAAGTGCATTTGTTTAGTTCCAGTAATTAAACTCACAGGAGAGAGTTGTACTAAAGATGCCATTTTCAGCTTAAATAGAAAATAAAAAGAGAGGAAGTGTTTTTGTAGGTGTGTTGTTAAGTGGGTGCAGCCCTGGGCAACATCCAAACATTCCCAATAGAACTAAGCTTGAGTAAAATATTTTTTTTTCCACATGTGCTGGTTTCTGTTCCTTTGCCATACAAGGTGAATACTTGTATTTTATTGTCATGGACTAGCAGTTTTTGAAAAATTCATTCTGGTAGAACAGAAACTCTAAAGTTAGCAGTAACTCAAAGATTATTCAGGTTTTGTATCTGAGTATAAAATAAATAGTAACCAAAGTAGTTACTAAAATCAAGCAGGTCGTGAATTGCAGTTTTCAGCCAAATTACTGTAATATGGTTTTTTGATTTCATAAAGTCAGCTACCTTAATTGTCACCAACCATGTTTTCTGACCTAAGGATAGGACTGAGTGATGACAGATACTAGACTACTGTCTGTTGTTGCCTCTGCTGGGGATTTGAAGAATGTAGGCAGAACAAAGAGCTTACATTGCAGCTAGTTAATGAATAAACACTGGATATTATTACCTAAGACTGAGATTCTATTTAAAAAAAAAATGTAAGGCAGAGAAGTTGGTAACTTTTTTAAAGTACATTGAGAAATCATGTAGAAGAATTAATTTGAAAAAGTATATATGTAAATGTTTCAGAAAAAATAGCTTAGATTAAATATTTATTATTTATTTGTAGTTATCTTGTTGCTAGTACCCTTGATTTGCTGAATTGATCTAGTGAATTATTTTACTGTGAAGGTGGTGAGATACCAGAACAGGTTGCCCAGGGGAGTTCTGGACACTCCATCGCTGGAAGTGTTCAGGATCCAGGTTGGATGGGACCATGTGCAACTTCATCTAGTGGGGGGTGTCCCTGCTTATGGCAGGGGGCTTGGAACTGGATGATCTTCAAGGTCCTTTCCAACCCAAATTGTTCTATGAATCTGTGATATACGTTTAGGAAGATCTTTTTGAACAATACTCAAGAAAGGTATGCGCTGTAATTTTTCTGTCTCTAGTAGTATGACTCTAGCAATCAGCAGCGACTCTTCATGTTTCATCTCTCTTCTTACAATTTTTAACAAGTGTATCTTCCTGAACTAATAAAATTAAAATGTATTTAGCATCAGCATTTCCCTTTTAATCTGCTTCCTTGCTTATTATCCAAGAAACATTCTCTTTGCCTCTTAGTGATTTCACAGTTAATGTCCATTGCATTGACTTTTAAAGAGGGCTGGATTTGGCCTTAGCATGTGGGAAGTCAAACAAACGTTAGTGGCTGTTTGCTAGTGTAGCTAAAAGGAAGCTGCACAGAAGACGATGAAAAATACTTCTCTAAAAGTTGTTAATACTGCTGAAGTTCTCATATGGGCTAACTGTTGAGACTAAAAGTGAATGCTTTTTTTTTCTTAGTGATCTGAGTTTGGGAGTTTTTTGTTCAATGTTCTGTGGAGTATGCCAAAGGTCCAAGAAGTTTCACATCGCGTTAATTTTACCGGTATCCCAGATATGTGCATATGTGTGAAGAAAAGCTCAGTTTTCTAATGAGTTGTACTAGGAACCAACCCTGAAGTGCCTGGACAGTGACTTTGGGGCTTCTAATGTCTGATACTGCAAAGACGGTCTCTTCTCATGGATCCTTTTCTTAACTGGGAGGAAAGAGCAATGGCAACAGTGGGAAGAAATAAAGGATTGAGGAGTAGATGTTATCAGAGACCCCAAATCAACACAATGATGAAAGCACCAACTTATATTGAATGAATTATGGATTGGTAATTTTAGATTAACTAAATAAATAGATATAGCCCAGTTAAATTACCCCCCTTCTTATTTTTGCAAGACACATACTGAGAGCTTAGTTGTGCAGTTTTGCATTTTTGTAATAGTGGGAAGGGCATACTTGTTTATATGCACAAATGGAAACGTGGCTGCATAGTACTGTGGCAAGGTAGTAACATACTTTTGGAAGAATGACTTTTTAGGAGGAACACCAATCCAGTTAGAGCAAGGTAAAGCAAAGGAAAGTCTGTAGGTTGAGTTTCTTGTTAGACACAAACACTATCTGTTCATGTTTTACTTAATAGAGTTGTATGTTTAATGGCATACAGTACAGTATATAATGCTATACATGACATTTGTCTCTGTTGGGGTGTGAAAGAATGCAAACATACAGTTTAGTTTACTATGTATATGCTGATGCATGTTTAATATGGAGTGGAGAACAGGCACAAATACTTTGGAACTAGAAATAGAGAGAAACAAAATTAATTTTTCTAAGATTGTGAAATTCTGCTTAACGCTATGAACACTGAGCAGAATCATGCTGGAAGTCTCTGTTTAATACCATTTGGAGTTGGCTGTCAGTAGGTGTGGGTTTTGTTACAGTTCAGTTTAGAACACTCACTTGTGTTGTGGAAGGGTCTTCCTTCTATGCAGCAGTTTCATTTGTAGTACAGCAAATGAGAGCTTGAGAGAGAGGTGTTTTTATTTCATGAGCAAATGAGGGGCCTAGGGTCCTTCACTTGTTTTTCTGAGTGAGATGTCGGGGCAGATGAGTGAAATTGTGTTCACAGGTAGTAGAAGAAAAAAGTGATATGTTTACTTATCGTTGAAAATGTGGATTTGGACTACATGGTACAGCTGACTCTGCATATTCTCCTTTTCTGAATCATATGTTTTATAGAGAAGAATCAACCCAATGCTGTTGCAATATTAAACTGAAATGAGAGCCTACTATATCACATATTGAAGCAGTTAAAGTGAATAATAAAGCAAAATAATGAATGCATACAGTATATTGATGAAGAGCAGTAAATATGTGAACAAGGAAGTGTTCAGAAAAGCAGAGTGCTGTTAGAGTTTTTTAGTAATCTTCAATTGTATTCAGTTTTCTTGGCTGTAATAAACATGAAAAATAACATAAGGCTAATTCTAGTTCCTTTATATTGTTACTGACTTGTTGCAGATAGTATATGGAAGTTAAAAAATATTTTATTGTGAGAACAGGGTGATTCTAAAATATGTACAATTCTTTCATTTAAAGAAAGTGTATTTCTTAAAGAATTTTAAAATTCTAATTTTAATGATTTTATGGAGACAAGTAACCCTTTTATTCCACAGTGTTGGCTATAGGAAAAAATATGAATGTTTAATGCTTATGTTTTTCTGTTGAACTCTTGTGTTTTGTGAAGAACGGTAAAATTAAAAGAAATTAAGCTGTAATGTAAGTTAAATTTATGTGTTTTTGTTTCATTTGGAAAATGAAAGTATGTTTGTTTTTAAAATGGAATGGTGTAATCACATCAAATAGTGTCAGTATGCATGATTTTAAATAGTGAATAGAAAATTCTTGTTTAAACAGAAATAAGCTAGAGTTTTTTTCCTCAGAAAAAAAACCTGTATTTTTTTTCCCTCAAAAGTTGGAATATTTTTCTTCTAGAATTTTCCAGTCTAATATTTTTAATTTCTGTATTTTATAGGTATTTGTCATACATGAATCGTAGGTTTTGTAGTAATTACAACTTCAAACATTTCATTCTTTTCTTTCTGTGAACTTTAGGTATGCTGTTCCTCCGGAGCATGGGAAACGACTTGAAAGACTAGCTCAAGGTAATATTTTGAGTATTTCCATATGTAAGATGTTTGAAGGACAAACCTCTAACAAAGTGAGAAACATCCTTGACTCAACTACTGTGTTTCATTACTTAATGTTGTGTGACTTTTATCTGTCTAAGATAGGACTGCAAACAAGGAACATTTTCTGGTACTCTGGTGAATTCTTAAGTAACAGTGTAATCTATTGTTTTTTTTCCTCTTAGAACTTTATTTTTTACTGGCATTTTTAGTGTGGTGAAGTTCATGAAAATAAGGCTTAATATTTTGTTGTTCATTGGATTTTCATTGGTAGTATCTTTGTCTCTTCTGTGCCCTTGCAATTTCTTGTCATAGCTTCTTTTCGTCGGTAACTTTTGAATCTTAATTTAGCTAAATTTGATACAAAAATAGAAATACTGAGGATGGCAGAGTCTCCAGAATTTTTTGGCAAGTTAATGGCTGGGTAGGGGCTGGACACCTGGTTAGTACCTCTGGAAAGGGGGAAGCAAACAAAATGAACTAATGCTAAATCTTATTTCAGAGCAGCCTGCTCTCCAGTGGTCAGCCACATAAATCCACTTAAACCAAAGCATGTACTGGCTTTTGTCCTCCAGATGTAAGAGGAACATCTGTTGAAAAAGGAATAGAAGATGCTGTTGTGAGGTTGAGATCTAAAGCTAAAAATATCTATTCTATTGGAAAATTCCTCTTTTTTTTTTTTTTTTTCTAGATTGAGTGTAATTTATGAACACAGGGATAATTAGGCACGTTTCTTGGCCTGCCAGCTCAAATTTTATAGCCTGCCATTGACCATGTTATATGAGGAGTGCTGCTGAAATAATTAGATACTGTGTATTGGGACCAGATTCTGAGTTTTTTTGTATGTTTTCTTTTCATATGCACTTTATGTGCATGTAGGTACATGACTATGTTTTTGAGCTATTTTTAAACTATTGCAAAGAACAGTAAGATGGCGTGGATCACTGAGGTTTGAAAGTAAATACCTGTGAACATGGAGTCTTAAAAACACTTCTCAGAAAGATTTCAACCTGGATGATTACATTTACTGTTCCTAAAGTTTGCTATACATTTCAGTTGAGAAAGTTGTCACTCCATTTCTTGCTTTCCAGCTAATTTTTCCGACTTGTAAAGTATGGAACTCTTCATATGCATACCTTGACGCTTTGAGTTTTCACTGGTAAACAAATTGATGCATATTGTAGACTGGGCAAGTGACACTGACTTATGATGGGATCATTCAGTTATTAGTTCTAAGATTTACAGGAAATGAGCAGGCAGTAAAAGGAGTAGAGAACTGGAAAAGGTTCAGAAAGGTGCACTAGGACTGGTGACAAATTTGCCTTTTCATTTTAATAATTGTTACTAAGTTCTCACTTTTCAGTCTGAAAGAAAGTCAAATAAGGTAAAGGGGTATGATAAAGACCTGTGATGACTGGCATGCAAAAGGTAATTAGAGAGTGATTTTCACTGGATCTTCCAGTGCAGCTAGGGACTCTGAATGAAGGTTATCTGGTTCAAAACAAACAGAAGATGGTTCCTTTCTCAGTATGAACTTCTCATTGATGGTGGTGGGTTGTAAAATTTTCCATGGATTTAAGGGGAGAATGGACAACCCTGGCAAAGAAATCTGCTAAGAATAGCATAGGAACTGCATCTAGCATTGGAAGTCTTGGAGCAGCAACTTGTTGGTACTAGATGGGCTTGGAGGATGCAAAGATTTCATGCTGTATTTAAACACTTCCCTATATATCCACTTTTCACATTTGCTCTGGATGAGGGTTTGAGGGCACCCTCAGTAAGTCTGCGGTTAAGTGAGTGACACCAGGTTAGGTGAGTCTGTTCATCTGTTTGAAGGTAGGGAGGTTCTACAGAGGAGTTTGGGCAGACTGGGTGGATGGGCCAAGGCCAGTGAGAAGAGATTCAACAAAGCTGGGTGCTAAGTTCTGCACTTGGGTCACAACAGTTCCATGCAGCACTGCAGGCTTGGGGAAGCGTGGTTGGAAAGCTGCCTGGCTGAAATGGACCTGGGCATGTTGGTCAACATCCGGATGAATATGTGCCAGCAGTGTGCCAAGGTGGCCAGCAGCATTGTGGCTCATATCAGAAATCGTGTGGCCAGCCAGACTAGGGAAGTGATCACTCCCCTGTACTTGACACTGATGATTCATCACCTGGAATGCTGGGTTAAATTTTGTGCCTCTCTCTCTACAAGAAGGACCTTGAGGTGCTGGAGCATGTCCAGAGGTGGTGAAGGTTCTAGAGCACAAGTTTTATGAGGAGCAGCTGAGGCAGCTGGGGTTGTTTAACCTGGACAAACGGAGGCTGAGGGGGGACACCCTGGAAGATGTCTGGTACTTCTGCTAACGATACGTTAGTACAGATGATAAAGATCTGTGTGGTGAATGGAAAACTACTTTCCTTGATGAATTATTAGTGTGATTGAAACAATTATTTTTATTTCAGAATGGTGTTTTTAATAGTAAATGGCAAATAAAACATAGAATCAGATACTGAACAGTGAAGACAGACTTTCAAATAGTTGTTTATTCCATTATATTCAGTCAAAACTGGACAAAAGTAAATATATAGAAAAGCCATATACTTGAACAGAGTTTTTTTTTATTGTAGGAGCAATGTAAGATAGATGAGTTAGTTTCACAGACAACCCTCTCTGACATTTGCTAAGTTTTTAGGAAAAAAGACTTTAATGTCTTCTATGATGTTTCTCCATGAATAGATTGTTTTCATGGTACTTTCTGTCCAGCTAATAGCTGAGAATGGAATGTAGATGAGAAAAGGATGGTCTTTATGGCTATTTTTTTTTTTTATTTTTTAACTACCATTTCTGATTGTTTCCATGCTGTGCAGGTTAATACATCTGTGATTTACTTTGCAACTGCTGCCTGCCAGTCTGTTTTACAGTAAAGTATCTTAAAAAGGTGAAAGTGTAAAGTTAGCTGAATGGCTGCAAGAAAATATTTTAAATTATGCTTTTTCATGAGTGTAACATCTGAAGGAAAAAATAAATTAGTTTTTTCCAGAAGGTTATCTCTGATGACCAGGTGCTTACTGAATTAGTCAAATGCTCCTAAATAATTAAAATAATAAAATAATGCATTAATGTGACAGGTTGCCTTAGTCAAGGCAGCAGTTGATACATAAAATTAAAGGAAGGCTAGAATATTTTCCATTATCTTGTCTGCACATCACAATTACCACACATACCTTTTGTACATGAATGCTTTCGTTTTTGCTTTCCATTGAAATCTTGATTGACTGTGGCACCTACAGATACTTTATCTGAAAGACATTAGACTTGCATCTAATAAAGAAAACAGTTTCATTTTGCCCTTCAGCTGCTTTCTCATTTATGTAGGTTTTTTTTTCCAATTTTATGTAGACATAAATGTAATAAAAATATTAAGTGACCTTTTAACTGCAGTTTTATACTTGTTTTTATGTTAATCTGTAATACCATACTATTAATGATTTTTTGTTTCACAAAGTGGGTTAGAAAATAAAGAGAATAGAAGCAGAGTGGCAAATCAGAAATTATAGTTTAAAGGATTTTCAAGATACTTTAACAGATCATTTAATTGCAGATCTGATTTAGAGTGGAGATAACATCTGTATGTGATGCTCAATTCTGTTAAAGAAGAAACTAAAATTTAATACATTTGAAGTTTGTAGGGTTGATCTAAAAAGCTTTTTATGATGTATGATATTAGTTTATTTCATGCAGAAATAGACCTGCATGTACTATTTAATGCAGAAATAGTTTATTTCATGCAGAAGTCATTGCCTGCTACGTAAAAGAAGTATAAGAAGTAAAAACTTCATGAAACTTGATGTAGGGTAGGGTTTTTAAAAAGCCTGAGTGGGACTTCCAGTTAGGTGCATAAATGCACCTGACCTGCAGTTTATATCCTCATACCCCAGCCTTTTGACTACCAAGTATTAAGCCACATACCTTGTAGATTGTTCTAATTCTGCTCTAAGTCTTGGCAATGTCCCATTTTTTTTTTTTTTTAAAATTATGGACTGGAGAATTTTCAACTGGATGGTCTTTTTCTCATGGATGTAAATAGATTAGCAACCTAATTATGTTTTAGCCTGATCTTTGATTATTGCTTATTGGCTCCTTTGAAGTAATTGTTTTGAATTGTCAGTTTGTGTTCTGTGTAATAATCTTCAAGATGATAAGCAGGATACAGATGGCTAAATGTAGATAGTGAGAAGAGACGTGGAAGAAGTCTGATGTGTCTCAAGAGACCATCCAAGAAACTAGAGTTGCATGCAAATTCCCACAAAATACCTGCTTTTGCAGAACTGATTTAGAATTAATGGATTAGTGTTACCAGATTAAATTAAGATTTCATCTGTCTCATAAAAGCATGAATATACTACAGAACTTGAATGAAAGTTACATTTTAGAGTTTGGTATTTTTTCTTTTGGTTGAGGGATTTCATTGAATATCCAGGATTGATTGATAATCCTGTAAATTGGTGATTTTAACATCAGTTTGGCATTTGAGAATGGTTCTGACATGTTGCAGGTGTGCCTTGAATTTCCCCACATTTAATATATTTGTAAGGGTCTTGTGACGTTTCTAAATGCAGGTCTCTATTCTATTCAATAGTGCTATTAGATACTTCTTACATCTGCTAACCAATTCTCTCACAGGGATTTTCTTTACTGAACAAAAAGCTTGTGTGAATTCACCTGTAGTCTGAGCAGAACAAAAGACCTTCTGATAACCAGAGTCTTGTAATGAGGAAATGTTACCTTCCTTTCTTCCCTTGTTCATTGGAGAGGAGTGCTTTTGGGAAAATGAGATGAGTGAGACTGGAAGATTTAAGTGTGTCCAAGAGTAGAGTTTGACACAGTCAAAAGATATTTTTGTAGTAGTACAGAATGTGTAGACAGCAATTTGATTTCACTGTGAGGGCTCTGTAACCACAGCAAATGTTCTTCTGTAGATTTCTCTTAATGGCTCTTGAGGAGGTTGTGCTCTGCTCTTCTGTGTTGTTTGTGGCTCTCTTGGAATTCAGCAACAAGCTTGCTTTCTGATGGGAGTTGTCACAACTATTTGTGATCTCTTGGAGCTTGGTGTTTTTGATGTCTGCCCATCGTTTGCCTCTTATGATCATGTAATGAGATAATTAAGAATGTTATAGTAGAAGAATCTGGTACAAAATTTGTTTTCTCAGGGAAAACAACTCAGTCGAGCTCTCCCTGGTTTTAGAAATGAAGAGTTTTTCTAGCTTTCATACCTGTTATTTCCTCAGTCTCTAGTATCACTTTCAATAACTTTTTTTCACATTATATTCCAGTATATTTCTATTATTATACTGCTCAGGACTGAGATTTCCTCAAAATCATAAGATGTAGATTACAAGTTATAAATATTACTGTTATGTTATAGGCATTAATTGTGCCAAAATTTTTTTTTTTTTTTTCCTCTGGAGCCCAGTAGTTGTGGGCTAGTTTCTTTTCACTATCTTTTAGTCAATGAAGCCAAATGCGAATAGTAAAGCTACCTACCAAGTACCACTTTTTGAAACATAACATTATTTGCAATTCCAAAATAGTGTACAGAATTCTGTGCTTGTTTATGAGGAGAAAAAAGAAAGAATTCCAAATCTGAATAAAATGTGATCTCAGGGCATCTTAGCATATCTATTGCATTGATCAGCACAAGTGTGCATTACACCTTCACTGATTAAGTGCTTCTGAACCTTGTATCTGAGAAGTAAGAAAAAAAATTGTTCTCCCAGACTGGGGAGTGTACTGGAAAAGAGTATACAAAGATTATAAAAATTATAATGTGGTTAACTTAAATTTGTTTTGGAATTGTAGTGTGGTTAATGGACATGAATAGAAGAGTCACCAGCAAGAAGAAATTAAATCTGACATAACAGAGAAGGCTGTATATTATGGCAAAAGCTGTGATTTTTTTTCTCAAGTAATGGAAAATATTTAGATGGTTAATTGATTGAAAGTGATTTTTAAAGGATATATAATTGAATAATAAACATGTTGCTTCAAGAATTAAAGTCCTTTGAATCACAAACTAACATTTACATGAGAGGGATACAACAACTTGTGCAAACATGGTAAAGAGATGACAGAAAGCTGTTTTGCTACTTAGCTGTCCTGTGGCTAACTTTGTGTCCACTAAACTGTTTTTATATCATTTGCGTAGTAGTTTTCATTTTTTTTTTTCCCCTGTGTTTTTTTCCTGGGTGACTCCATCTTATTACTTTCTTATAGTTACCAGGCTTTTCCAGCAAAACACTTGCAATTCAGTTTGGAGAATAAATGAGTGGTGTTCTTGGTTAATATATTCACTATGGATAAATATTTACACCTTGGATAGTCCTAGGTAATCTATCAAGCTGTATCTCTCTGAAAGATCCTTTGTGTTATTCAGGCATAAAATATAATTTTATGCACAAATGAATCAGAAGTATTTTTCCTGAATCATTATTAATATCATCATTAAGGAGACCTTTTCATCATGAAGAGCTGGCATTGTATCTTTTCCAGTATCAAGTTGCTATGCAAGATAATTTGTAAAATATACTTTTTTGTTTTGTTTTAATACTGTTTGCTTCAGTTTAATTTCTGCCCATGTTTCTTTGGTAGTTCTGTGTAACAGAGTATGTTTTCCTTGTACCCAGAAAAAAAAGTCATAATTTTTAAATGGCTTTATATTTGGATTTTCTTGTCAAATGAATTTTACCTAGGTTTATAATGCAAATGAAAGAAATTCTGGAGATCCTTTTCTACCCAATGCCATTATCATAGACTTTTTTTCTTTTTTTTACAGTAAGGTCAGGCTAGCTCACACTGCACTGGTTCAAAAACTCTGAATTCATCTTTTGCTCTTGTATGTCTGAAGAGGGGCTATGATGAAACTATATACTTAGCAGTGAGAACTTATTTTTAAAGTTCAAGTCAAGGAGCCGGCACTTGTTTCTTAATTTCTTATTTCTTATTTGCTCTGTATTTTTCATATGGAACTGTTAGAGATAGTGAATTCCTTTATATCCCATTTATGTATTCTGAAAATGAAGAAATTTTGAAAACAATTAGTCTTTAATAAAATTTTTTTAGCAGTAGCCTGGCAGTCTTTGTGGAATCTCTGAAATCATATGACATTAAATGACATGCAATGGAGCAAACTGTTGATGTTAAGGAGTCTCGGTAACGCTGAAAAACATACTCTGCAGAAGGAAGCAAAATAAATAAGTAAAGTTGAACTTCACAGAATGGGATTACTTTCAAATGCTATATACTTGATACAGTAATAGTACATATAAACCAGGACTGATAAATGTATGGATTGCAGTTACTCAAAGTACATCTCATGGTGATTCTTGCTAATGCTCTGGTATAAACACTAAAGAGACTGTAAAGATAAATAACAATTATTATTTTTAGAATAATAAAGATTATCTCATATTTGCTGATTAATTAGTAAATTAAATTGTTCCTCTTTGTCAACCTAGTTCTGTTGATGTTAGTGCTGTAACTTTGTGAGACTTCTGTGATGTTGCATTATAACAGTCAAAATTTTTTTCCACTTGGCTCCAACAAAACTTGTGTTCATCTCAGAGCAAGTAATAGGTCTGTATGCAAGTGGAAAAGGAATTGAGAGCAAGTATTTGGAGAAAGTAGTGGGTAGTTGGATAGCTTTCATTCCATTCCTTCTAGTTTTCAATCTGACATTTTCTGGAGCTTCTTGATTTTGTTGATTACTATGCCTTTTGTTTCCTTTGTTTTATTGTTTCTAGGAATTGTGTTTCAGTTCTTGAGAGTGTTACTTTTTTTCTAGAAGAGAGTCTGAAAGGAGATTAGGAAGGACTGAACTAGCAATGTTCTGGAAATTTACCACCTCCTTCTCCTTCTCATCTTCTGTCATTTTTCCTTTAGCATAGTAGCTTCTCACTGCAGTGAGGCTGAAGGGAAAAGAACACGGTGTTTTCATGTAAGCAAAGGAAGGATTGGGTAGCTCTTTTGAACTGCAGCTGAGGTGCTGTTCACATCCTGGTTAGAGCATCTGATCCTGGAGTTTGATAACACTGAAACATAGTTTTTAATCTTTCACTTTGCCTCTCATTCATTCAAATCCATGTTCTTATAGACTGGATTATGTAATTAAGGAAGTAGGCACAGGGTGTGGAGTGGTGCATAAATAATCATGAATGTTGAAAGATATGAAGGCATGTTCATAGAAATCAAGACAAGAGGAAAAAAAAACCCACCTGTTTTTAGTTGTAACAGATAGTTCTGAGAAAGTAACCATACTTTCTTGTCTTTTCTAGATAGAAAGTTGTGTTTACTGTATAGATGGCCTAGAAATGCTAGGTAAACCTAGTCCTTGTGGGATCTTTCTAAGTTTATATAATACAGCTGATTTGCATCTGTGCAGAACAAATGTTAACATAAACAAAAAAAAACCCAGTGAAATATTTCTGGAAGGTGTAAGAAAGTACACCTAAGTTTACAGGTCTGCATTTATTCTAAGTTAAGTTTACTTCTTCAATAAAGAAATTGGTGCCAAACCTCTGCAAATCCTCCCTCTGAAAATCACTTGAAAAACTTAGGAGGTGCTTTTATTTTTATACAAATAGCTCAGAACATAGCAATGACAGGATAAAAAATTCTAAACCAAGTTTAGGTGCTAGTATATATTGTAAAATACTGCAAAAAATTCCTACTTGTTAAAATCAAAAAATAACCCAATTTTGCATATCTTGCCCTATTAGGGTTCTTCCCAAGTAGCTCTCAAGGATGTGATGCTTTTCTTCGCCACAAGATGACTCTGATTTCTCCATCAATACTGAAAAAGTATGGAATTCCTTTCGACAAGGTAAATTAAACATTTTTAATCTGAGCATTCATGCATTGAATTAACTTGTGTTTACTATAAGGACTGTTTATAGTAAAGGTGAGGCGAAATTATTGTTTTATTTTTTTTTTTTAGGCAGAAACACCATGAAAAGATGAAAACAAATGCTTGTAATATTAGGACTAGGTTGGAATTTTCTAGCAGAAAACACTTGTAGCCATCATAATCTTTATTCTAAAAGTTTCCGTGATTTTTAAGACATTAGCAATATTTTTTAATTTCTATTTTATTTCCTTCCAAGCTTGCATGTGATTATCTGTTGACTGAAACACTTCCTAGCTACCTATATTAAAGTTGCATACCTAATATTTTAAAATAAATGTGTAATTTCTTTGTCTGTGTATTGTTTTTCTGATGCAATTAAATTTAACTTTGTAAGTTTTATCTAAAAATTTCAAGTGTAATTGAACCAAAAAAATGCTACTTAATTTAAAATGTGTTTTAAGAACTGCAACATACTAGAAAAAGAGTGAATGATTATTTTACGCTGCTAGGTAGTGGCAGACTGGACATTTGATAAGAACATTATATAAACAGAAAGTGAGAAGAAAACTGCCTGTCTTTTTGGATGGATTTAATACATAACTACTTTCAAAAACATCTGAAGTATTCAATTTCTTCTCATTCCCTACAAGATTTTCTGCCTTACTGTTTTCCACTCTGAACTTCCTATAGGTGCCAGCTAATAAAAATGTTTCTACTGCATTGCTTTTAGAATTTTCAGAATTCTAAAGTTATAAACTCAAGAGCTGTGGAAGCCTACTCAAAACAGTGGAGCCTAATTCAGAAGATCCCTTACCTGAACATCTGTTTATGTTATACTGAGTTTTCAAAAGCCTTTTGATCAGTAAAGGGTTGTGATTCTTGATTTTCCACTGCTAACTATTTTAAGGTGTTTGGAAATACCAGGCAATGTATACTTTTTCTCACTCTTTTTTTTGCAATATAGCCTGTAGACTGTCTTCCCCACACTCCTTGTTTATTATTGTGGTTTCTCTTCTGGTGTATGTGGTGGTTATTGATTGATACAATGTGGACCTGTGTATGCAAACATAGCTCATCAAGTTCCTTGGCCTAGAATATAGAATAGTTCAGTGATTTCTGTTTGTTCTAGCTGATATTTCTGTGACAGTATTAAACGTAGCCCATAGAAATAATATTTAAGTGAATGTTTTTGTGTATCGTATTGTCGTGGTTTAACCCCAGTAGGCAGCTAAGCAGCAAACAGCTCATTGCTTACTCACCCTGGTGGAATGGGGAGAGAATTGGAAAGGTAAAAGTGAGAAAACCTGTGGGTTGAGATAAAGACAGTTTAGCAGGTAAAGCAACAGCTGTGCATGCAAGCAAAGCAAAACAAGGAATTAATTCACTACCTGCTGTCGTCAGGGAGGTGTTCAGCTATCTCCAGGAACACAGGGCTCCATCACGTGCAGTGGTGACTTGGGAAGACAAATGTCAGCCCCCCTTCTTCCACCAGGTTTTATTGCTGAACATGACATGTGGTCTGGGATATCCCTTTGGTCAGTGGGGGTCAGCTGTCCCTGCCATGTCCCCTCTCAACTTTTTGTGCACCCCCAGTCTGCTCGGTATCAGGATGATGTAAGAAATGGAAAATGCCTTGATGCTGTGCAAAGCTCTGCTGAGCAGTAACTGAAACATTCCTGTCTTATCAACACTGTTTGCAGTCTGGGTGGAGTGAAGCCACTGATTTGTTCTTTGCCTTTCGGAATATGACCTCACTTTTCATGCATATATCAACCTGTGTAAAAAATTGAAGAAAAGCAGGTGTTTATAATGATACTTCCTGCCTTGGAAAGCAACCTTTTTTGAATAAATTACTCATCTAAAAGGTAGTTTGTTTTCTGAGTGATATATTATCACATGGAAATGTAGTTTCTGAGTTCAATTTTTGTAATATATTGGTGAGTACCGATTCCCTTCATAGCCTCATGCTTTATAATGAAGTGTCAGATGAAACCTTCCAAACTGTAAGGTTTTATAAATAGATTTATAGTTTTGGATTTACAGAATATTACACTGAGCAGCATAATTTTCAGTGGTTAGTGTTTAAAGTGGCATATTGCAGAATGTCAACATATTTGGTTTTGGTACCACACATTTGAGGTGGGTAGGGAAGTTGATGTCCTTATATCAATGTCTTGATTATTCTTGTATTCTGCTATTAAAAAGGTGCTAGAAATAGTTAAATATTTAAGTTTTATTCTGTCACCTAGTCTTGGGAGGAAGCAGACTGTACCCAAGCGTAATTGTAATTAATGGGATTCAGTGAGAAAGTGAATAGAGAGAACCAGGCTGTGATGTCTCATGGCTCAAAGTGATAAAAGTGGAAATGTGCTGAATGCTGATAAGTCAGCCTACGCCTACCAGGTGGCAGCTGAACTGCTGCTTGCTGCAATAGAACACCTGCTAAACTGTCAGCAGTGGGAGGGTGTATTGAGATAAATTTTGTAATTGTTAGCATTGAGAATAATCTTTCTTAAACATGCCCACAGTGATTGTTGGAGTGCTACAGTAGCAGTTACAATATATGCACCTCTGTGAATTTGCATGTAGATACTAAATATGAACGCAAAAAATTAACCTTGCAAAGTGCAAATGCAAAATGTAAGATCCAATTTTATTTTTTAGTTTTGCTAGCTAGGAGTAGTTTTCTTGTTTTCATCGCTTTTCTTCGTCCCATAATGAAATCAGAAATATATATCTTAAACTGCCCTTCTCGTGTATTTATTCTTGCATTGAGAAAAAAAAAGGTACACAAAGAAGTCTTGAAACTATACAATGAGGATTTTGAAGGATAAGAAAGGGAGGATTCTAAAAGCAGGAACTTAATGCAAGACAACTATGCCAGCAAAAAGCTGGGATTTAAGACATGACATGTTGATAAGAAAAATGTTTGGGGATGCGAGTTTTAATTTTGTTGATCATTTAAAATCTAACTTCCTTTTTTTAAATTTCAAATCATAAGTGTATTTCTATAAAAAGAGTCATGTTTGTCTTTCCAATTTTCATTCCTGTATTGCTTATGCAAACCGTTGCTGCACAATGAAAACAGCCTATTTAATCTCTAGAATTCTCCTTATTTTCCTGTAATCATCAAATGCATCTTGTTGAACAGTCATCAGTCATTGCTCAGATTATTTGCTTCGTTTAAATATATCTGCTTGCTTTTTATTGAGCCTGTCATCTGATGTGTGTTTCATGTGAAAAAGCATATCAGAGTATGGGGAAAGTCTTTTAACTGTTTAAGTTTGAATCTTCGAGTTTATTGATTAACTCTTATCAGTTCGGAAGACAGTGTGCTATTTCTAGTCCCTGACTAGCGTGACTTGTTACAGTCTTTGGTGGTTTGACTTCAGGAGATTAAAGCTATCTCTGAGTGGAGAGAATATTAGTGAGTTAAGAAGTGTGCTCTCTCCTTTTCTCGATGCCCAGAGGAGGGCAGCAGTCTATCCAAGTATAGCTAGACGAGATTTCTCTCTTGAAAGAGGATCCTGGCCAGTAGTTTGTTTACCTTACTGCACTTTATTTCTGTGGTTTACTCTAGAAGCCTTTTATATCTTATCTCTTTTTTATGGCTTCTAGGATTTGTCTATACAGAACAGAACTGCTATGGCAGTGGTGGATTGTGTTTATTGCTTTCAAACCTATCTATCTATCTATTCTGCTAGCCACAATTTCTTGGTGAGTCAGTCACCACAGTGCACTTTTCTCTTAATTGCTTTTCACTGTGCTTAAAAAAGAGAAGACCAGTTTTTTGGAACTAGCCTTGCTTATTCTCTAGAGAAATGTAAGAGCTTAATAGTCAACATTTTCCTCTTTGAGAATCGCCTTGTCCATTATGTATTTGGAATCCTTGTTGTGAATAAATAGTACCAGAGTCCATTCTGCTCACTTAAAATTGTGTTTAAAGAGAAAGAGGGGAAGGATGGGGCAGGTGAAAACTTCTTTTAATGTCATGTCTAAAGAGGTGTTTTAGAGGTGTTTAGGACTTTGAGATGTTCTCTGCATGGCATTTCCCGTGCAAGAATCTCCGTGGTGTTAGTAGCTGTTGTGGCAGAAATAGGGTGATGTACTTAACTTGCAAGAGAGAAGCGGCAGTATACTTTATTGATCTACACCTGTGATTTAACAAAGCTCTGTGGTGCATGCAACAGTGGTTTAACAAGATTCAATGGCCAGGAACACTTGGTTATTTACTGCATAGAGGACAGGGTCAGACAAAACCATCAGAGAGACCTTCCTGTTGAGTAATGAGGCTCAGAAAGGTCCCACTTGTGTTCTAAACTCCTCCTCAGAGGGGAGTTTAGTTGCAGCTGGATCTGGGCTTAGTCCCAGATTTGGTCAACATTTTATGTCTAAAGGATTATATGTGCACAATCAGTCCTTTATATTATTTTGCTAAGGTTACATAGTTTTATGATGTTTATTTCCAGTTTAGTTACCAAGCATCTGTTGTGGCAAGGACTCTGTGAGCCTCGAGGAGTAACCTGGAGTGGTATCCCTGTGAAGGGGGTAGGGTATCATTCGGGCTGTCTCCTGCCTGTGCAGGAGAGCTCACTGGGCCCTAGGCTGTCCACTATTTATGGCTTAAGATGATTGACTTACAGTGATATTGGCATACCAGTGGGACATCTGTGTAACTGTATGAGACAGCCCTTGGTTACTGTGTTGCCATCTGTCTCCCAAAAGTCCAACTTGAGCTGGATGCAGCCACCATGACCACCGCTGGTGGCTGACTTAAGCAGGGGGTGTGGTTAGCACACCACCACAGCTCTGAGAGCAAAGAATTTGTTCTGAGCAGATGCCACTAATTAATTTTCCTCCTTTCCTATCCAAAGTGATTTAAAGATACTGCCTCAGGGGATCCAGATGTCCCCAGTGTATTCCTTTGGGATGAACAACATTGTTTTCTTTAAGTGCTAAGTCTTCTTAACTTAGAGTTTCTCCTACTTTGTTCTTGATTATCAATAGTAATAACCTGAAAGACAAATCAGGCCCTCAGTCACAGGTCTTGAAATCATGTTTTTTGGAGTGTGTGTGTATGGGAGAGAAGGGTGAGAATATTTCCCTTCAGTCTTTCCCAGAAAAGTTCTGGTGCCATTCTTGAGAAACATCTTCAGGATGGTGAATGGAATAATTTATTCAACCAATAATTTGTACTGGTATTTAGGGGTAATAATTGTATGTATTTTTGTCCAGCCTCTCTCTGCTTTCTCTCAGTCAGGAAGGTGGATATGTTCTTTGCGCTGTCTTTTCTAGCTCCATGCACTTCCAAATATTCTTACCAGTGAACCTCTGTTCCAAGATGAGCTGTTTTTAAACTACTTTCTGAAGTTGGAAAGTAATACAAGTATCTATGTATTTTATAGTAAACAGTATTGTCTCAAGTATACTGTTTCTGCTTGCATTAAATCCTAACTGTGTGAAAATAAATTCTTTTTAGATAATTGCAAAGCCAAATATAGTTTTAACTGCTTCAGGAGCAGAACTGCTTTTATCAGATGATTCACTTCCATTTTTTTTTTTTTTTTTTTTTTTTTTTTTTTTTTTTTTTTTTTTTTTTTTTGGTTTGTACACTATAGGTTACACAAGAGGCTGGAGAATTTATGATCACTTTCCCTTATGGATACCATGCAGGATTTAACCATGGTTTTAACTGTGCAGAGTCAACAAATTTTGCCACCGTCCGATGGATTGATTATGGAAAAGCAGCAAAGTTGGTAAGTCATATTGCACAAAATTGATTTGTAAGGGAATCTTTTGTGTCGTTATTTCTTTGTGAGAATCTATGGAAGCTGATAAGAAAGGCAAAACCATTAGATCAGGTGGTACATTGAAATTTTATTTAAAGTTGTTCTTTTTGTAACGGTTGTTATACTTCCAGCAAAGTGTATTCCTCTCAGTAGAAAGTTTTGTTTGCAGTTTAACAGACATTGTTCTTCAAAACTAGTTCTGTTTATGGATATTTTGAAGTTTAAGCTGCATATACTGAGGTTAGTATATGTGAAGACAACTGACCTGCTCTTAAATGTCCTCTAAGCTCTGCTGTTTGTGAAAGCACTTTATTTAAGGTAGGTATTTTGATATCTGGAAACAAACATAAATAATTAAAGTTAAACAAGGTTTAAAGAAACAAATTCAACTTTTCCCATCTTTAATGACATCAGATATCTTGTAGAAGAAGGTAATAAACGAACTGCTAACTCCCAGTAGGTGTTTTCATGTTTTAAAATGAGATGTGTTTTACTGGAAATATTTAGACTGAAATTTTGTTATGTGGCATATTTATTTTCTTCTTTCCTTGTGAGTAAATACACAAAATCAAGAAAGTGTGCAGTTTGTTCAGCAAAAGTTTGTTTTTCAATATTCTGTGATTTCTTTCTCAGAATTATAGGTCATAGGGGCTTTGTTTAGTAAGCTCCCAAAAAGGCTTTAAGTCCGAGGCATTTTCTGAATTTACTTTTTGGTTATTGATAAAATAATTTGCTTAATATATAAGGTAATAAGATGATGTAGAACAACGGGCAAAACGAGATGTGCAGGTTTAACACTTTCATAATGACAGTGAACTCCGATTAAATACTTGGGATTGGAAGACCGTCATGAGAAAGTTCTCAAATAGTGGAAATTTTTGATTCTAGGCACTATTGATTATTCATTAAGTGGAATATGCTTCAGAGGGGAAAAGTTTATGATTATTTTTGTTTCCATGTGCTGTGTATGCATACACTAACAGTAGTGAAAGCATTGTTAACATCAGTATGTATCTAACATGTTCAGGCTAGTGTTTACCTTTAATGGGAAAGTTCTGTTTTTAATAGCCAGCAGGTAAGGTGTTGACTGTAAAGTTACTTAAAACAAATGTGTGTGTTTGATAGCTTGGAATTTTTATAGACAGTATGGTGAAACAAAGTTGAGATGCTTATGGGCATGGGTACGTATGAGTATACTTGTGGAAGGTAAGTCTAGGCTGGATTTTAAAAGATAGGAATATGCTGCAGCTCTAAAACAGATTCATCTGAACCTCAAGAATGGCAAACTTTATCTTTGGATGTAACAAAGCTGAGGTAGTGGTACATGCAGCTACATCTTTCAGTATACAGGCTTCATATTTCTTATGTTTTAAGAACAGGTCTGCCATTTGATGTGCAGCTGACCCAGTACATACTATTAAATTTTTTATGCCTCCATTGTGCCTCTCAGTTATTGTACCATTAACTTAATGTCATAGAATCATGTGGCACTGGGGAGACCTTAAAGATCATCTAGCTACAAGACTCCTGCCATGGGCAGAGACACCTCTGACTACACCAGGTTGCTCAATGTCCCATCCAACCTGGTCTTGAACAGCTCCAGTCACGGAGCATCAACAACTTCCCTGGGCACCCTGTTCGAGTGTCTCACCACCCTCACAGAATAGGACTTCTTCTTTACATCTATTCTAATTCTACCCTCTTCCAGTTTGAACCCCTACTTCTCATCCTATCACTACAAGCCCTCATAGAAAGTCCCTCCCCAGCTTTTTTGTAGGTCGCTTTCAGATAGTGGAAGGTCAGAATAAGGTCTCCCCAGAGCCTTCTCCTCTTCAGTCTGAACAACCCCAACTCTCATAGCAGTCTTTGTAGGATATGATAGTCATTGTGGCCCTGCTCTGGAGACACTCCAACAGGTCCATATGCCTCTTGTGTTGGAGGGGTCCAGAACTGGACACGGGTGTCACGAGTAGAGGGCCAGAATCACCTTCCTCAACCTGCTGGTCACATGTCTTTTGATGCAGCCCAGGACAAGGTTGTCTTTCTTGTCTGCACTCATACATTGTTGGTTCACATTGAGCTTTTCATCATCCAGTCTTTCTCCTGAGGACTGCCCTCAATCCATACTCTGTGCAGCCTGTATTTGTGCTTGGGGTTGCCCTGACCCAGGTGCAGGACCTTGCACATGGCCTCCATCCCTTACCTCCAGCGTCTCAACCAGTCCACGCAGTTTGGTGTTGTCCACAAACTTTCTGAGGGTGCACTCAATTCCACTGTTTGTGCTACTGACAAAGATGTTAAACAACACCGGTCCCAGTACTGATCCCTGAGGAGCACCACTTGTCACTGGTCTTTACTTGGACATCTAGCCATTGACTGCAACTCTTTAAGTGTGTGGCCATCCAGCCTATTCCTTATCCATCGAGTGATCCGTGCATCAGATCCTTGTGTCTCCAATTTACAGAGGAGGATGTCATGTGGGACAGTGTTGAACATCTTGCACAAGTCCAGGTAGATGATGTTGGTTGCCCTTCCCTTACCCACCAATGCTGTAACTCCATTGTAAAAGGGCACCAAATTTGTCAGGCACGATTTCCCTTGGTGAAGTCAGGTTGGTTGCCACCAGTTACCTCTTCATTTTCCACCAGCCTTAACAGAGCTTTCAGGAGGATGTGCTTCATGGTCTTGCTGGGCACAGAGTTGAGCCTGACTGGCCTGTAGTTTCCTGGGTCTTCCTTTTTCCCTTTTTGAAAGTGTGGGCTATGTTACTGGTGACTGATTATTTGTCTTCCTACAGGAGAACTTTTATTTTTGCAGAAGAGTTTCTAATTGCTTACATCTGGATTTCTGTCTCTGGAAAAAAAAATAATCCTGAAATACAGTCAATATTCATTCCTCATTAATTTTGGGGAAAAAAAATCAGGCAAAGATTATCATTAGAGTTGTAGTAAATATTTAGACTATGTGACGATACTGCTTTCATGCATGAAATGAGATGGTGTTAAAGATTCTGTGAAACCAATTACAAGTGTTAGGTCTGAGAGTGTTCAGATTCCTGGTATTGGAAACTTTGCTGAAGCAGTGATTTTGGATGCAAAATCCAAAATTATTTTTTGTCTTTAAAAATGCTAAACTTGTGTTCTTGGTTTCACTATGTGTACACTAACTACCTGTAGTAGGGAGCAGGGTTCTGTCCTCCAGCTTGTTTTCTAGACTTTGTGTAAGACTTACATTCGAGGGATGATGTATGAAAAATAATACCAGGTGTCACTTCTGGTGTGTTGTTTCCTACAGCTCAGCTGCTAGTTTGAGCTGTGTTCTCACTTTTGGAAAGAAGTTGGACAGAATTAAGCAGAAATAAAAAGCAGATATATATAAAAAAAAAGGGCACAAAATGGAGAAATAATAGATATACTGAAAGTCCCCCAACTCCAGGAGAGAAGCAGTGTAGTATTGTCTATATTCTCCCACTGACGAGAACACAAGGGAAGAGAAATAGGAGCACTGGTGAAAGGAACAAAGCAGCCGTGCTGTCCTGAAAGTGCTTGGCACAGGCTGCTGTGCAGAGGGGCATTGGGGGATGCACGGTAATGGTGAGACTTAGAGAATCAAAGGTAGCCTGTGCTCAGCTTACAGTTAATTCAGTTGTGTTTATTTTGTTCTGTGGGGAGGAGAGGCACCCTAAGCTTTAGATAATCTTCGTCATCACCCTATAACTTCAATTTGTTGAAAACTGTTTATTTTTGAAAAAAAGTTGGCATGGTTTAGGGTGAGGGCCCCCAGACCTATAACAGATGCTCTCTGTTAAACCCTCTCCCCCTGCCTCAAAGGGGAAGAGAAAGGGAATAAGGGAGAGACACTTGCTGATCAGAAAAGTGAAACAGCTTTAATGGAAATACTACTACTACTACTAATGATAATGAAATGGAATATATGCAAAGATATACAAAACCAGTGTGGAACTCAACTCCCCCCTGATGGCAATATGTCACTGTCACCCCCGAGGCTGTGGAGCAGGCCCTGGGAAAAACTCCCAGGCTGGACTCCGCAGCAGAGGGCAACTGGGTACAGGGGATGGATTCTGGAACTCAGTTCAGGAACACAGGGCTCAGAATCAAAGGCAGAATGGATGAAGTCCTCCTTGGATGCCGGCCACTGCAGGAGCAGCAAAAGAGAAAAGAGGCCTGATCCTTGTGATCCTTCAGCTTTATACTGAATATGAGGGATATGGGCTGGAACACCCCACTGGTCAGTTTAGGGTCACCTGTCCTGTCTGCTCCTCCCTGCAGGTGTGGCCTTTTACTTTCTTTTCCCGCCAGTGTGTAGCACAGGATTTCGCTGTGACCTTGATGTGCACACCAATCCTTGGTGTAACTCTAAACATGGAGCATTATCACTGCTAGGAGCAGACTGCCACTGACTTCAGCAAGTGCAGATAGAGGAGCATTAGCTGAAAAGTAAAATCACTGGACAGAACTTGTTCTATTCTAACCCAAACCAGGACAAAAGTGAATGGTAAAAAATAGGGGTAGATAGGCTATTTCTTCCAGCTGCTGTGAATTTGTTGCTTTCCTAACAGAGCTATGTTAATTTGAACAGGATGGAAATGTGTAGCTTTATGAAGTGCATTTTGAGTTTCCTCACTCCAGTGCATTTTGGTTCTATTGGTAAAACAGATGAACCAATAACAGCTTGTGTATTTTGTAGGTATCTACTTTGATTTGTGCTGAGTGTGTGTGCTGAACAGCACTTGTGTGCTGAACAAAGGGTGATATTTAGTTATTTGGAGTGGTGAATAGAAACATTTACACATTATTCTTTTATGTCTTTGCAGGTGACAAAACTGGGGTTCTCAGTCATGATTTTCATCTGTCCAAATTTTAGCTCTGGTGGATAGGATTAATAAACTTTATGCTGCAATTTGATGCTGAGAACTGGAAACTAATATTTTGAGTAAGGTGCTGTGCTTTTCTGTGCAGGCAATTTTTTTTTTTTTTTGCTTTCTTGGAATGCCTTTTTCCCCTTGGTGCTGTATTCTAAATGTTTGAAAAACTTAGATGTTGGCAAATCAGTTCCTAATCACAAGGAATCCACGTAAAAAGCACATCCTTTGTCCTTGTGTAGAGCTTCTGGACTGCATGGTCCCACTTGAGTTTCCTGGGAGAAGGCAGTTCACGGAACAGGAGAACTGGGTTGGGATGCAGGTCGTCTCTGGGAAGTGTCCAGGAAGTTGTTGATGTGAGCAGGTTTGGTCAGGGTTCAGTAGTTTTTCTTTATGCAGTAGTGATTATGTTAGGTTCTTTCCTTCTGTTTTCCTTGTTCCTGTTTAACTTCTCACATTTCCCTGTCTGGTGTTTTTCTAAATCCTTGTATCAGGGTCTCTCAACTCTCTGTAACCATTTTCAAAAGATACCCACACTTTCAAAAGCTCTCAGAGAAGGCATTGGCATTTCCAAATACTGCTCTCGTTGCTCACTCTGTCTGTTTTGTGGCACGACTTGGTGACTTTCACTCAGTACAACTGTATGTAAATTTTACTGCCTTCTATCAGGAGTAGAGTCACACTAGGTGATTTTGATAGTCATTATAATGATTCTTTTGTATTGCAGCTTTTTAAAAACGTGATTTGTTTTCAGATGTTGGTGCTGGAAAGCTTTCTG